AGTATGTGAGTAGGTATTTAATGTTTTATTTAAAGCAGTTTCTACCTGTTCCTAAATTTCAGCTTTAATATTCTATTTGATGCTGTAGAACTCTCGATTAGTGTATTTATGTATTTGAAGCCTGTGTTACACTCCAAAGTTATCAATCATTTGTTGCAACAGACTGCTCCTTTTTATCAGTTTGCTATATTATTAGATTGTAGATGCAATCACACCTAACGCTGCTGTTGATGTGTATTTGATCTGCCTTCCTCCCTCATAGATCTGACAGTTTCATGGGCATTGACAAAAAGCAACACACGGGGGTAAAATTAAATTTTGATCTGTTGGAAAATCTACACTGGCAAGCATTGACACTCCTGGCAGTATCTGACATTCTCATGCTGGTAAAAGTAACAGCTGCTTATCAATGATGTATTAGAGATGGGCACAAACCCACTGGTGTACACATTCACGTAAGAAATTCCCTGGTAAAGTGATCCCTTGCCTCCTACTACGTATATGTCCTATATCTGTACCTCGTTTTCAGACTCAAGGCCATAGAGGTAAACGTCCAGAGTCACTTGCAGCCATACATTCAGTAGAGACACAACTGTGTCGGAGCTGTCCTGGTTTTCTGAATCTTGTGGGTCCTCTGGCGCTCTCAAACCTAGAGCTTAGGTGCCACCCAGCAGGTTGGCAGTGGCTTGAGGGATCAAGAAGCTGGGCTCAGCTGAAGCGATGGTATTGTCTGTATCATTTTGATATCCCTGTGTTATTTGGTTTATGACTCTTACTGATTCTGTTAAAGAGCTGGATTTCATATAAGTCAATCCTCTTTATGGTATTGCGACCTGGATGATGAGGAATGAAAAGTCTTCTACGGAACTAAAACTTCCATAAGCAAATACTGCCAAACACAGATCAAACTGCTTTCATAGAAAGGGGAGTTTGAAATTCAAGACTGTGTCTGCTAAATGCTTACTAATCCAATTGTTGGTTAAAAACCTCTTGGAAATTAAGACTCTGGCCAGATACATGAAAAGGATATATTTGCTATTTCCCACTAGTCAAATTTAAAGAAATGCTAATTTATTTGGGGTACGTGTAGTCAGAGTAATTCTGTTTTGCTTAAAGAATAGGTGACAAGCTAACATCTCATCCTTTCTTTATTAATGCCAAGATATGGAAATTCAACAGATGGTTACTGTGGTTAGGGTACTGTACACAAACATATGCGAGGCAAATAAAGGAAAGATGTACCATGTTTTGAAGGGATGTCTGCATGGAGGGACATAGAGAACCTGCCAGGGCATGAGGCTATGGGGGAATGAACACTGCACAGTGTTCAAGGTGTACACTGGCACAGTCAGATATCTTTCAGGAAGGGTACCCCAGCCTGCCTCCAGGGATGCAGGGAAGGGGAAGTGAAAGACCGGGTCTTCCACTTGGGTTTCCAGATAGATCACAGAAATGCATTCAAACATCAGCCCTACTTTACCTAAAATATTTTGCTGCTCTTGCCCTAAACTGAATACTTAGTGTTATTTTCAATGTATAAAGCATAAAAAGAGTGAAAGACTCCATAAAATAAGTAAAGTACTAGATAAGTTAAATGGCTTATACATGTCAGTGTTATACTCATCAGTTTTACTGGCCCTCGATCTTACCTTGCAAACTTGAAGAGAATAAATTACATTATGCAGAACTATAAATCACGCTGTAGCACAATTAATTATTTCTCTGACCATCTCCTTCAGGTGCAACTGGAGAAGCTTCTGGCTGTAAGATTTTGAGATTCATTTGATTTCTGTGGTGTCTTGTTTAGACTGCAGCAGTAATCCAGCAGGACTCTAGGCATTGTCCAAACAGAAGTCTATACTGTAGGACACTTTAGTCATAATATATTGTTTTAAAATATTTCTGTTACCAATAATTTTGCAGTTACCCAGACTGTTAGGTTCCATTTGTTTCTTGAGCATGCATCTTTGCTCAGTGTTTGATGCACTTCCACAGACTACAAGCAACATTCTCAGTGCCACTGTCACTGTAGAGATGTACCTCTCTCCAGAATACCTCTCTTTCTCTGATCCAAAATCAGAGGACATCTTCTTGAAGAACTCTCCTGAAAGAGTTCTAACTTACCAGAGATACAGAGGTGTAAAAGAGAGAGCTTGCTAGGGAATAAAGATTTCCAGTGTTTACTTGTGAATTCCAAGTTAGAAAATACCCTTAAAATTTGCAGAACTTTGTTTATATTTGTTAATGACTCTGTCTGTGTGTTTGTCTATGAGAAAGTGTATTTGTGTGTGTGTGTGTTTGTGTGAGTGATCGAGAGAGAGAAAGTATTGAGTCAACCCACAAGGATTAACGCAGTGCAAGGAACCATTTGCGACCAGGAAAAAAGGTTACTGGTGAGAAATGCTCTGCTGCAGATTTCAGATATGCCATAGATTCAGAAAGGTCACTGCCAAGAGCAGTTTCCTCTGTTGCATACACACAGTAAATGTGTGAAATCGCCCTGAGAGCAAGGCTGATAAGACTTAGTACAAACTTGTTTGATCAGCAGTGGTTTTCACCTGTAGTAAAGATGTTAGTCATAGATTTTTGCAAGCAAAACTGTATTTTTAAAACAGAAAATATGAGATCTTTGAAATGGGAATAAGACCCATGGAGGAGAGTTGTTTAAGGAAATGGCTCTGTTGGCTGACACAGGGAAAAATCATACCATAAGAGCTGAAGCTGAGCATTTCTGCTTTCTCAGGGAATGGTAATGACTAAGCTTTGAACTTCTTCAGGCAAAGCTTTATCCTTAATCTTTCTTATGCCGTATGTCCTATTTATTAAAGATGATAATGTAGCTGTTTAAGATCAGTTACATGTTAGCAGGATCACAGGGGAGCTGATCTTAAACAGCTACATTATCATCTTTAATAAATAGGACATACAACATAAGACAAAACTGTTACAGCTTAATCACCATTTTAAATTTCCTTTAACGCAAGGTTCACTGCACTTTTCTTAGTTTGTCTGGTGGGTCAAAAAATATTCCTGTGATTTTGAGCACCAAATCTGTATTTCAACCAGGGAAAACTGCACTTGTAAGTGAAAACATTGCAGGATTTTCTAGGTGAATGAGAAATAGATGTTGTGACATGCTGTGTCAAATCCCTGTACCATCCAAAAGACTGATCCTTTGTACACCATCACAGTTTTGCTCTCAGTACGTACATTTACATTCTTTTTTTTCGGGTTTGGTTTTGGATTTTTTTTAATCAGTAATACTGCTTCAAAGTCATGAGATTGCCAGGTAGTCCTTTCATTTTTTTCTAGGGATTTCTTGTTATTCTTTTCCATGTAACCTAGTTACAGTTACCTAAGGAAAATAACTTAGCTCCCTAAAGGTCACAGAGATTCAGCTGTGACCCCACCACACCCTACCCCACACCACCCTCCCTCTCATCCCCTTCATGTTTTCAGCAAATGAAGTGTGTGGGTTTTCTGTTATGTGTTCTGGGTATTCCCATGCAAGGAACTTAATGCATCATACTGTACCTCAAGTCTTTAGAGAAGGTCAAATTACCTGATAAGCAGGAAGCTGATATAGTGACTTAATAAATGCTATTTTCCTACCACTGTGATCATTTCTCTTTACCACATGTCTAAGTGATTCTATCTATTTTCTGACTAGCTGTTCTGTGACTCCCAAAGCTACTCCAGAAGCTTTCCAAGTAGTGGGTTAGTACATAGTTTGTTTCTCACACAGCAGATCTTCTTGGTCTTGTTTTAAGCATTAACAGTTTCACTTTATCAAAGTAACAGCAAAGGACCACTCTTACTGGAATAAGGATGCTTGCACAGCTACTTTGACCAGTGAATGCTGGAGATATGTCCAAAGCTCCTGGGAATCACATACTTAAACCCCAATTTGAGTTTGACACCTTACAGGTACAAAGAAAGCTTTCATTTCTTATTCTCTGAGTCACCATCTAGCCCTCAGGTTCTGAAATTTCCAGCTTCTTAAAATGTGTTCTGCATCTCTTCTATGTTACTTTTCAGAGAGTAATATGTTGTGATTACATAAACCAGAGCTAGGTTAAGATCACAAAGAGAAATTGCACGTAGGAGTGTAGTTCTTGTTAACCGCATTGTGTATATATCTCTCTACGCAACACTCAACAATTTAGACAAGCATTTTAACAAACAAGTCTCATGCATTAGATTGTATTCAATCATATATTCAAAGGCAAGTGTAATTCTGCCATGATGATTTTGAACAATGAATGCTTTTAAGCACTCAAACACACATTAACAGTATTTTGGTTTTATTCACTTTACACCTGCTTATGGGAAATATGCTGTCATATTTCACAGAAGCTGTTCTACTAATGTATATTTAATGAAAGTTTACTGCACGCAGCAGTTTCTGAAGCTTTGAATTTTAATTCATAATATTTCTGTTAAGTCTTCGAAATAATTTTATACTATTGCGGAAGGCCTTGACTTGCAGACTTGCTCTTGAGAGGAAGTATGGGGAAACCTTAGATGCTGGTACAAACCTACTAGGGGGAATCAAATCTTAGATTTCTTTCTTCTACAGGGCTTTTGAAAGTAGTGTATGACAACACATCAGGCAGTGTCTAGTTTTAAAGGCATCCGAGAAAGGATTTTGCACAACCTTTTTTGAGGAGCAACCTACAGACTAGATACAGAGCTTTCTTCTAGAAACAGCAGTTGGAATTTTAGTTCCTTACAATCTGCAATATACATCACCTATAGCAGAGCTTTGCTTTCTTATAATTTACATCTGAAATTTAAGACTTTGAATAAAGGTACGAAACAAAAATATCCAATTTTCACTAAAAATGACATTACAAGTTTTAACAGAGAAAGCACATGTGAATAGACAGGTGCAGAAGGATTAATAGCAAAATATCTTCCTATGACCCGCAACTCACCCACACTTGACAAAAATCAGACCTAATATGGAGGAAAATAGAGAAATACTTATGTGCACTTACAGAAGACTGACATGTCCTTATCAGGTTACCATGTGGAGCCAGGATGCTTAATGGCATTACGAGGCACCCAATTCTGCCCTTGCTGTAGTAAAACAAGCAGAGGTGGAGAGAAGAGAAAGAGTAAGTCCACATCGTGGCACCAGGCAGAGTCACAGATAGTGTCAGCCATTTCTAGTGAGTTATAGCAACCTCAGTGTGGGGTTCTTCATATAAAGAAAGTCCCAATACTAGTAAAGGTGGTGCCTACAAAAGAAATAGTAATACAGAGATTGGGGACTAGACACTTATGCATATATGTTGCTGATCTGCATTAGTAGCCAATGGTCTTGCGCCCTGATTTTCAGCATAAAAGTGGTGCAGAAGAGTGTTATTATTCTGAGGAAAGCCTAGAATTAAATAATGGTTTATGAGATTTGTTTTGGCACATTTTGTGACTCTGATGGGATTTGACATTCCTATTAGAGAACAGCACCCTTAGTGAGCTGGTTTATGATCTCATAATTATTTTTTCAAGCAAGCTAAGGTAAAAAATAAGTGGGTAGGTATCTGCAGCTGAAAGCAGTCACTTTTTATTTCAATAAAACTTTTTACTGTGTGCTTAGTTAACTTAAGCATTTGCAATTCTTTCACGGTCCTCTGAGAGCCTGATTGATTGTGACGTGGCTCCTGGATCAATAGTGCTGCATACCAAACAGTTGCCAGTGTGAGTTGTATAATTGCTTTATAGAAAGCAATATATCACTTTTCCCTGTCATGCAGGTATGCTAATTCAGCTGTTTTTCAGGATACAAAGCATTTCCTCCAAGAGTGATATCTGTGTGTGTGTAAAGTGCTTTCATGAGCATATTTTTTATGAATACCTGAGTAATTACTGGACAAAGTCCATTCAGTACTAAGATAGAAAGCACAAGTAGTGTATTTTGATTCAGTTGCTAGCTGATTTAAGAATTTCTCCAGATTCAGGACACAAGATTGCATCTTTGCTTGCACTTCAGCTGCAGAATATTTATTTCAGCTACTGTTAATCAAATTACTTACCATTGCTTGAAGAAGCAGTTTTTCAGAGCCACCCCTTTTGGTTTCCTGTTTCATATAAGAGGAGGTTTTGTCTTTCTACCTCATGATACACTATGCTTTTAAAAACTTCAGTAAATAATAGTATTTTGCTCTCAGAACAAAGAAAGAAAAGGCTGAAGTTTTCCTTATTACCTGTGGGAATCCATTAGTCTTTTAGAAGCTTTATGAGGCATTGTAAGAATAGAGCAGTGAAAAAGTCTGCAGTCATCTTCTTCACAGAGTTATTTATATATTATGCTTTATTTCCATTTTTTTCAAGGCTTTATCTTTCATATCCATCTGAACTGTCTCATAATCAAACTGAGAAGGAGCAAATTTATGTAAATATGACTGAGATTTGATCTGTATTGCTGAGGGCGGAATGTAGCCCCTGTTAATTCTAGAGAAAACATGATGCTTTATTAAAGCTCAACATCACAGGCAATTTAAAAAAATGTTTACTGTGTACCAGCTTTTCAATGGGATTTCACTGTATACAACAGTGTAAAACTGAACAAGGCAGATGCACTGAAACAGTAACAGTTCTCTTTCAGTTTTTAATTGCATTAAAATGCAAGGTTGTTATGTTACTGGTATTTTCAAAACATTTCTCTTTTGGGCCACTTGTATTCTGAAACAAAAATCTGAAGCACATTTTTAAATAAAAGATATATGGCTATGGCAGTCTTATTTTTTGTACAAATCCTTTTGCTGTGGTAAAGCAAAAAATTAGGAGTACTAGTTTCAAATTATGATGGACTAAAGCTTCTCTTTTGCAATGACGCCTACGTATTACATTTATGTGTGTTCAAGACAAAAATCTTTATTTGGCTTATTCAGAAGTATTACAGAACCAAGTTATCACCTTTTTTTCTTGCAGGATATAATGTCAGATAAAAGGTTCTGGTTGTCTAATGGCTAATAAGCTTTGAAATTAGATACTAAGACATCCTACAGAGCACTGAAATATAAAATTTTTTTATGAAAGTATTACTGTTAGCATAAATCAAATTCTAAGTTTAGAGACACAGTAATGTCGTGGTTTTGCCCCCTCAGCCCATCCCTGGGGCTGATGATGGTTTTGTCCAGGTAATTTCCGGACAAAAAGACCAATCAAAAGTCCAGAAACGCCTTTGCTAATTACATCTTCAAGAAAACGGAAGAGAAGGTTGTTGGCGCAGTTGGAATTAGAGTAGCAGCCATGTAGGGGAGAGGAGTACCAGGCCCGAACAGGGCCAGACTCCCTCCTCCCCCGGCTTGGGCCGGGGGGGGGAGCAGGTGCAGCACTGAAGTCCTCCCTTCTCTCTTGTAAGAGAGTGAAGAGAAAAAAAAAAGGTTTAAAAGACGGACTGCTTGGACAGAAGCCGCTGTGGAAGAATTCCAGCCGAAAGATAACGGAGTTTCCAAGGTCGAAGCTGGCAGCTGAAACTGCAGCAAGAAAAGTAAAATGCGAAAGGGGGGAGGCTTGTTTTCCCCCTGCCTTTCTGCTCTCTCTCCTTAGCAGGGAAAAGACTGAAAATAAATCCCTACCACTTGTAAAAGTTTGTTAGAATAAGGAGACCTCCCACGCAACTGATAAAGAAGTCTGTGGATGTACCAAAGAGAACCGAGACTTCATGAAAAGGACTGAAGTGAGGCAGAGCCCTAGTGGAGATTTATAACCCTGAGGGAAACCTGTGTTGGAGCAGTGACAACTCAGGTGAGATACTGAGATCCGTGCGTGTGTGGATCTATACTGCTGTTGAAGATTTTGTAACTCTGAGAAATCTCATGCTGGAGCGAGATGGCCCATGTGAGATGCTGGAATCCGTGTGTGTGTGGGATCCGTGCTAAACCCATGCCGAGAAGTCTATCAAGGACTGTTCTCCCATGGAGAGGGACCTCCATAGGGAAACAGGGGTGGACTCTTAAACCATTAGCCCCTGTAACCCTGTGGAAGAAGATCCATAGTAAGCAAGTGTCCCCTTGCAAGCCTATGGAAGAAAAAACCCTTCGGGACCTGAGTAATCTCCATCCTTCAGTCTTAGTCCAGGAGGGGGGGGTAAGCCCAGCCCTGGAAGCCAACACAAAACAAGAGGAAGAGAGAAGAAGTTCCAACTGCAATAAAAGTGTGCTGCTGCTAAGAATCTGCTACTAGAAAGAGAAAACTGGAACTCCAAAAATACAGAATGAGACTACTTCTTCTCCTTGGACTGGTATAAAAGGGAAGAAGTATTTCTGTATATATTGCACTTCAACTTGAGTAAAAATTGTTATAGATATAATTCTTTAGTTTTTAACTTATTAGTAGTATTAGTAGTTTTTATTTTACTAGTAATAAATATTTATACTGTTCTCCCAAGTCCTGTCTCTCTTTTGTCTGCAAATACCTTCTCTCAACTAGTAGTAATTGTGTGGGGGGTGGAAGGCAAAACTGACCCAGAGCAAAACCACGACAAGTAATAAAAATATTTTTAGAGTGCCCACATACAACAATAAAATTAGCACATTAAAATATGTTTGGTTACAACAACAGTAAATTTAAATTGTGCCTGTTGCAGCAGTAGCAACAGCAGCAACAGATGCTTTCAACAAGAGGAGAAGCAAATACTCTCAGTTAACGTTCAAACAATGAATAAAAGATCAAGCTGATTCTCTGAAATATACAAAAAGATTAAGTACCTACATAAACACTTGTAAGGTTCAACTCAATTATAATTTCTTTTAAAATCAGGGGGAGGTTTTGTGCTTGTATTGCTAGCTGTATTTAATAGTCATGCAAACTAACTTGAAAATTAGATTAGTTAGAAAAACTCTATTCCAATAACTGCGTCAAAGAGGTGCCACACAAAATGAACAAATGTAAACCCAATAATTTAATGAGGTTTAATTTAATAAGACTTACAGGAGCATCTGTATCTTTTAATATCTCTATCTTTAGTTTCTATTGTTTAAACCATACAAAAAGGGAATGCCTAAAATCAGAATATTTGGCAATATCAGCTTGGTAATAAACAAAACTTGGTTCTGTGTTTTTATTTCTTTAAATGACCTGACCCCTCAAAGAGTACAGCAGCCTTTCACAAGTTCAGGTCAATGGAGGCAAAGCTAAATTTAAGTCCTTGGACTTTGATCATGAAATGTTACTGAATTCTTCCTTTTTTTACTCTTTAGCAAAAAATTCACTTTCGGAACACTTTATTTTATGACCGTATCTATCTTTCTAGCTCTCATAAGGGGAAAAAATGAAGTATCTTCCCACCTTTGGTTGATGTTAGATTTAAGAATATTGCTGTCGGCCCATCTAGTTGTGGAATACAAAGAAAATAAATTAATTATTAAGTTCAGGAGTTTTCCAAACAAACACAACAATGGAACATGAGCGTATGAAAATACATATTAAAGCAGAAAGCACTTCGACCTGCTGCATCCTACATTCCATCAACCCAATTGAAAATGCCTATACCTGCTCTTGAAGATTTAGTTTTAAAACACTCAGGACTTACTAGAGCATAAGAAAGTTAATAATATTAATAGTAAATTATTATTAATAATAATAATAATTTCCTTGGCATTAGGCAGACTGAGCACAGGTTTGCCTCTGTGCTGTGCAACTTCTATATAGGTCTCACTACAGATCAAAACTGAATGTTGAAGTGTCAAGTGCTAAATTATGTCTTTTTCTGCATGGGTACAGAAGTAAAAAAGCACAGGAGTGCTCTCCATGTAGCACCTATCCAAAACAGGTGACTGTAGTCTCTATAATAAAAAGTCAACATAATTTCAAATTTAAATATACTCCTCCAAAGGGTAGGGAGTAACCACAGTTCCCTCTAATAGTTTAGCTTTAAAATGTTACAGCTTCCTGTAGCACTGGCAGTTGCTGAGAAGTGGTGTAGCAGTTGTTACCCTAAGTTAGATGGCAATGTCTGTCATCTAGCAGCTAAATGAGAGATGAGGGATTTCAATTCTTACTGCTCTACGCCCTGGCCCTCATGAGTCTCACAACAGTTCTATTTGCCTGTGAAAGGAGAGATGCAGGCAGATAATGAGAAGGATAAGTGTTCATTTCCCACCTTAAGGTCTAGAGTTTTCAGCTTTCATGATACGAATCTACATGGATGGGTTAATATAAGTTTAAGGTAAACTCGGTTCCTAATAGCTAATACTTCAGTGCTCCCAAAGCTTGTTTAAAGAG